GGGTAGGATTTGTAGCGGTTGTGGTATCACATAGTATGGACCCTCCCTGGCAACCCACCAGACCGGTGTGTGGCCGGCCACGGTGGTACGCAGTTGACTGCGTGTGTCTAGGAGGCTGATGAGCTGGTGCCGTTGCTGCTGGGGGATGGCGAGGTCATACGTTAAAGATAGCCCCGCCGCGCAGTTGGATATACGCTCCCCGCCAGCTGTACCTGGCATCTGCCGGCGGTTGGCAATTGCCGAGTGCAGGAGGGGTAGGAGTGCTTGGTAGAGGGATTTCTGCAATGGCCGGGTATGTCCCTCCAGTTCTGTCCTCGACCGGTCTCTGATTATGGTGGTAAACGAGACCACCAAAAGGTTGGCTCTGAGTGCCGCTTGCTGCAATTCTTGTGTGCAAGCGACCTCCAAAGCTGGGGGCTGCGGGGGACCGCGTGTCTGGCGACGGGAAGACGTTGCTGCACTCATGGTGCGATCCCAGTAGCGTCAGCGCACTAGGTCGGGTTCCGCACGTCGCCGGCTAGGGATGTAAGAATTTCTAATGTTAAAGTTAGGATAGCAGCAACTGATTCAAAAGGATGGAAATGTCAGTTCCGATACCGGATCCCGCGTCGCGTTTGGTAGCGTGAGACGGCATGCCGAAACGGAAAAGATTGAGCAACAATTTTTGGAACTTGACCCTGTCACTTCCAAGCCTGTTTGGACGATTGAACGAATCCTGAAGCATGAAACCCGTAAACTGAGAAAACGAACCTTATACCGATTTCTGGTCAAATGGAAAGGACATACTGATGAAAACAATATGTGGCTTGATTCTTCCGATATTTCCGATCGAAATCTGATTACTGAGTACTGGTAAGCTCACCCGGAACACAGTGAGGACGCTGGTTCCTGGGGGGAGGAGGCAGCTGTTGTAGCGTGATAGCTACACAGTAATGATGAGCTTATTAAGAAATATGCGAATCAATTATGACTATGAAATCTTCTGAAAACTGACATGGCTGTCAAGGAATCGTTAAGCAGCCCCTTCGCACAAATGTGTCCGGACAAGACGCCCACAAAGCCAGGCGCGAATTTTACCGTGCGGATGCGTGCGTGCGATTCTTAAAATGCGCCTGTAAAAGTGTATGTAATTTTCTCGGCGAAAGGCCGCGGTGTGCCTGCGCGTTGTGCAGCAGGGCACAGTCACACGCGGCATGCATCTGGGACATTTGGCTGGCTGCTTAGCCTGAGCTGAAAAAGAACTGAAAGCATACAACGTAGCTTGCAAGAATGGCCACATGAAACGGCTGCGGGAAGAGGAAGCGCCTGCATTTGGTTGCGCAAAACATACAGCATTTTGTTCAGAGCAAAGTGAAATCACACACTTGCGCAAACTGGTATAACATACACAAACTTAAGTAATAAGCATAAGAACATAAAAGTCGTGATGAGCCGTGTGGGTGAGATGGACGCCGCTGATAGCTTAGAACAGCTTTTTGATGTGCATACGGCTGTGCTAGCTGTGCTAGCCGTATTGCAGCAGCTCCGGATGGACATCAGTCAGCAAGAAGCACAACACCTGCTGGTAAACCACCGAGAATATCTTCAGTTGGGGACGTGTAGCTTTAGCCGGCGGGGTCGACCATCATACACATTGCGCCCGGAAACCGAAGCGCAGCACCTGTGTATCATCGCCAACATATCCGGTACACGGTGGCAAGCGTCCGAGCATGATATACCGGGGTCTGCATCTCAACAATAATCAGCCAAGCATGCATGTGCCTCTCCAGATGAAGACACGGTGAACTTCTGGGCGACAGCTGTCGGTCAGCGTTTACGTGGTAAGCCGTGAACCAAGGGGTGGCATAGGTATAGTTATGGCCACGGCAGTGGTGGAGGACCTGTCATGTAGTACGCACCCGATCAGTCCGCCTTTATTCCGCGACTATGTACTTACATGACGCCAGTTCATATGCTGGGTTGCGGAAGCTGCGCTGATGAAGTGCATTACAACTGCCAACCGTGCCCAGATACAGCTACAACATTCATTTAAGCGTCCGCTGCATATGATTTCATCCGACAGGTCCTCATGGTGCCGCAGCCGTCCGTGTGGACTTGTTGTGGACTTGCAACTCCTCTTGGGAAGCATGGGATGTCATGATGAGGACGTCCTGCACGCGAACCACACCAACACCGAGTTCAACGTGCTCCTGGCCGAGGGCCGAAAGCACAGAGACAACTTCCAGGCGCAGCACGGTGCCAAGCCCGCCAGCAGTAAGTCGTCCTACCTTGCTGCCCATTGCTCGCTTGCGCCAGCTGCCGTCCCTGTGCCCGCTTTCCAGCTGCCCGGCCATGTGGCCACAGGGTCCGTATCTGTCACACCCCGCCCCTGCATGCCTCCACTTCCGCCCCGCCATCCCGCCAACCTCACATCCACCCTCCCACCCTCCATGCCCGTGCAGCGTTCTTGTACAACGTGACGGCAGAGATACACGAGGGCGACATGCCTGACAAAATGATGGCGACACACGCGACAGTCATGCAGCTGTGGATCACGGCTGCCGGCAGCCTGCATGCGGATACCGCCATTGCGCTGATTTACGATTATGGCATGGACGCCGGCACCGTCCTCAAGGCGGACCAAGACTTCGCGCTCTCGGTGCTGACAGCCGTGCAGCAGGCGCGAGCGTCCCGGGACTGGCCGACGTACACCAGGCCGTCAGTCATGTCCGACCTTAACTCATGTGAAAACGGCGGCTGCTGCCCATACGGACGGCAGCACTTGGGATGGTCTATTGCGTGAGCGTTGGGGGAAAGGGGAGGGGCCCGCTGCGCTCCTTTCTATGTCCACTCGTCGCGTGCTCGGGGGCAAGTTGGTAGCGTGCGAGTTCACCCATCATGTTGCCTGTTCTGGCATGGCCATCCACGCGCGACAGGAAACTTGAACCTAGGCCTTATTCTTCGTTCCTACATCATAGCAAAGGACAGACGCGACGTGTCCTGTGCACGCGCTGTTGCTGTGGTGCTGTTCTTGTTCTTGTTGTTGTTGCTGTTGTTCTTGCATACGCGCGCGCGACGACATGACTGCATGTACATTGCGCCGTGCGCCAAACGCCCTGTAACCAGCGTCGACTATTCTCACATTCCATTATGCCACTGCACTTTCCTCTCCAGCCTGGCCCCATTCTGTTCCTCGCAAACGTACTTGGGCACCTTCCTATCCAACACCATACGGGCTTTAGAAACGCGGGCAGCTGCTTCACAAGGACCCCCCTCTTTTGTCAGAATTCACCGGAACTGAACATCAAGAATCTGTACGACAGCCTTACCGAAATCCATAAATTTACTGAAATCGTCTTTGCTCACAGAACGGACGTGGGTTTGTTTAGAATTCATATTCTACTCATGTTCGGAGCGCGGTCTTATACCGTGGTCGGGGCAGTGCCGGCCTGAGACATACTTCATGGGCCTGTAGCACTGCACTACACTACAACACCCCGAGAGGTCGGCAGACGGATTATGTTGTTGTAGGTTGGGTGAAGAGAAATTATCCAATTTATATAATTCTTGGTTATACATCGCACAAACAAGGGTGTCGCTGCTGCTCATTCCATTTCATGCCTTACATGTACATCATGCTATGGAAAGGTCCCAGAACGCATGTACGGCTCAATGTTACGGCATGGAGGATACGGCTTTCTAAACTTCCATGTCGTCCTCGATCAAGAAGGGATTTAACGTCCTCACCATCACCAGCATCTAGCCGACCAAATCAACTCATCAAGAAAAAGGCCCACCAAGCCAGCTCACAAACCACCAATTCGCTTCTAAGAGCCATCAACCAGCTTCACAATTAGCTTCAAACGAGATTCAACTACTACAGCTCCCGCACCCAAGCCATACGTTCTATTGGCCACGGTGTCAGCCGAGCTGCAGTGAGCGCACGCGCATGATAACGACCTCTCCACGCACGGGCAGTACGAGACAAAAATAAACATATATTATATACATACAGGCAGCCACCTGGCGCACACCTGGCGCTGTGACGGAAACACACCTCTTTCGCCGCGCGCCCCGCTGCGGGATTGTCGCGGACGTGCAGGGCGGGCGGGCCTGCCCTTCACCGAGTGCATCTCCATTTTCATCAGGAACTGCCTGTCCTTTTCTTAAATATATTACTTAATTGCCCACTACTATCGAGCGCATCACCCGAAAAAAAAGGCAGTTGCGAAATTCGCTTAAATCCATGTAGCAAAGATCGATGCAAAGCCGTGTAAGTTTTGTTGCTGTTCTTAATCCAATTTAATCCAAAGCCAAATCGAATGCCATCCATCTGTCCATGTACAGCAGAGACATCAGCCGCGCGGCACTGCGCGCTAGCTCTCAAAACCTATGCGAAAACCAGTATCCCGGGTGTCACGAGATTCGCATCCACCGATCGGTTCTTTTCCGAAAAAAAAGTCTTGATATAACAGAAACTTAACCAGAGCGCCGATTCGGCGCCTCATCCACATAAACATTTCATATCAAAACAAACGACGTGACAAATAAATGGGCCATAGATGCTTCAAGTATATAGTGCCAATCTATAGACCAACTGTTCTATAAACATGGTCTAATTACAGGCCTGTAAGCTATGCACTGCAACAGAAGAACCACATGCAGGACCGCGCCCACCCCTCGTCCCCCGTAAATAAATGCCACAGCCCTATCCTGGCAATTTTGCAAAACAAAGGTCAGCAAGCAAGTAAGTACCCAGATACGACAGTATGTATACGACAGTAGGCGAAGCCGTACAAAGCTGAGCAACGTGCACTGGAGCCGCTTTCCGTGGCTGTGGATGGCACGAGCGACGACCCAACCATAAAACAATCACGTTGCGGCATTTTTTGAAGGTGATCACTCACAAAAATTCATATAGCAGTAACCACCTACTGTCTCCCTGGAGACGGGGAAGCTTTAAAAAAAACGTTAACATGCATTACTGACAGTGCATGCCCGCCGTACTACTAGGTACGCTGTACGAAACCATCCATCCCATCCGAGCGACAATTTCCTGGCCCCCCATTCAACACCGCTTTCCAACGTCTTCAAATAGTTTTAAATAAAACGGGCTCGTAGCCATAGCTCGCCTGCTGATACTAAACGTTTATGCAGTCGTAAAAACAGAAACCGCCGTGCTTACCGAACCATAAAATCAAAACAAAGCACTAGCTGCCCATCCAATGCCATCGAAGTGCGCTACGTGCTCGTCACATTGCAACTGCTGCATGGCGCAAGCGAGTAACAGTAACAGTCCCAACACCATCCTGCCAATCATGTCTATCGTGTGCAGTTACAAAAGCGCCACCGCACATGCTGTCGAGCGAGCACATGCACATATATACTATTATTTTTTTTATTTTACTTAATAACTGATAATTAACATATAATTAACATATATACAAGTGCACATGCACATAGGCATAAACAATACTCAGGCTCAAAACTGCAGTGTGTGATAGCACCTGTGTCGCGCATCCGCATGTCAAACAACGCTCATCCAACCAAACAAGAAATTACTGCAGATCCGTCCGTCATCCATCGTATCGATCCAATGTTTACCCCTCCCTGAACGACCCAAGAGGTACAAGGAGTAGAGCACAAGGGTGGCAGGGTGGCAGCAAACGGCCACGGCGGAGTATGGGAGAGGGGATGAGGGAGATGGGAGAGGCTGCAGGGTACGACAGGAGGCAAGGACCGCTCCACGAGGCCCCCCCGCTAGCGGCTGGAGGGACCTCGGCGGTGCCATCGCTGCATGCTGGGAGCGGAGCGGTGTTGGCGGTGCTATTTTACATGAATGACCCCCACGTAGACTCTGGCTACTGCTACTGCTACTGCTGCGGCGGTGGCGGTGGCGGTGGCGGTGACGGTGGCGGTGGCGGTGGCGGGGTGTCCGTGGTGGCGGTGCCGGCCATGCTGGCGGCGGCGGGCCCCCCTGCCGCTCCTGGGCCCCCCGCTGCTGCTGCTGCCGCCTCCGCCTTCTTCCAGTACTTGTAGTTCTCAGAGAAGCAGCGCAGCAGGGGCAGGGCTCCAGGGAAGGCCTCCGCCACGGCTCGCACCAGCGGCAGCGCCACGAAGTCATAGAACCCCACCTAAGGATCGATCAGGATGCAACAGGTATGTACGCAAGTATGTAGGTATGTGTGAGGCTCGAAGGGTGGAACACGGCAACACCAACGACTCGCTCTTCCAAGCAGGTGATGTCCCCCGGAAAAACTTCGCTCCACATCCACCCACACACGTTGACCCACTACGGGGCGGCCCCTTCCCCGCCCGGCGCTTTCCCCCGAGACCTAGGTCCCGCGCGCCCCTTCCCCCCCTCCTCCGGCCCCACCTGGCTCTTGCTGACTCCCTGCTTGGCCCGGTCAAACAGCGGACTGACTGGGAGGCCCCTCTGGCGCTCCTGGTCGCCCTGGCGGAAGAACTCCTCCTCAAGACCGGTAAGCCACCGCTTGTGGCGGTCTAGACTCGCCCCCAGGTGGCCAATGTCGGAAGCCTTGAGCATCACCTGTGTACGGCGTGTACGGCAAAGAAATGCAATTCGTAAGTGTGAATATATTTTTCAAGTGACGGCCCATGCATGGTACGAGATGGCGCTCTTCCATATGATGCCTTGTACGACACCACACCATCGTGTCAGTCGTTTTCTCGCTCGTCCTGCCTGTCCCAACGTCCCAACCCTCACACCTGCAATGTGAGGAGCCTCTCCCCCTCGTTCAGCGGCACCGGGGCCACAACCTCCACCATGCCCCCCGAGGGACCCTCCGCAGTCACAGGGGACCCCCACTCCACATCGGCCCCCTGCTGCTGCTGCTGTTGGTGGTGTTGGTGTTGGTGCTGGGCGTCTGAGCTGCCATTGGACACTGCGTTATTTCCGCCAGAGCCGCTGGTCATCTTGCCAGCCAGTCTGTGCACCGTGTTGAACTGGTTGAGGATGGCAAAGTGCTGCTTCATGTCGGTGGCCAGGACGAGCTCAACGACCTGAAGCAACCGAAGCAACCGAAGACGGAGAGGCAGGGGACGGACAAAATAGGGGGGCGCAGGCGACATTGTGCGCAGGAGGAAAAGGCGCAAGCCATGTGGAGAAGCGGGGACGGGAGGGGACACAGTGCCTCGCATCAGCATAAGCGCACTGTCACGCTAGTTCACCGCGAGCTAGCCAGGCAGGTAGCCAGACAGGTACACCACCCGCAGCAGCTCGGGACATAATCACCACACACGCAAGGCCCCAAGCAACAGGGGCCCCTGCCCCCCCCTCGCCTGCTTCCGGAATGCCGCCCTCTCCGCGGCGCTAAGACCCGTAGTGACGTCGAGGTCGGGTCTGTCGGCCAGCAGGGTGAAGGCCGCGGCCGCGTGGTGGCTCTCCAGGGGGGACCGGTCGTTGTACCTCAGCGCCAGGGGGTGAGAGGTTGCCACCAGGAAGTCGTTGGTGAGGCCCGGGTGGCCGTAGTCGTGAACGATCTGATGCATCCACCAGAAACAAAAATCAGCGTGGGAGGGGAGGACGGGAAGTGGCAACGACTATGAGCTCAAGGAAGCAGTAAAAACGGCTTCTTGCGAATGTGTGGGTGATGATTTCACTTCATCAGCGCTATACCTAACTGCTGGCCGTTACATCCAGATCCGCCAAATCCTGCCTTCCTCACCGCATCCCCAATCCCCACCGTTACATTCGCCGCCAAACCCTGCCGTCCCTCATCATCACATTCCAAACACCCCCTCCCCGTCGTCCCTCACCGCCGCAAAGTACGCCGCCATCAGGCCTAGCTTGTCCAAGTAATGCTCTGTGAGCTGAGCCCCGTGCAGCAGCACATGCAGAGTGTGCAGCACATCCGCGGCATGAGCCGAGTTGTGGTAGGGGTTGCTGGCTGGGTAGCCACTCTCCAAAGTCCGCAGCAGTCGGGCCAGCCGGAGCGGCTCCATGCGAAATCTCTCCACCAGCCCCTCGCGCTGCATCAGAAAGAACCCCAGAGCCGACAGCGCATGGCCCCCGCTGATCTCTTGAAGGCCCAACGTGTCAAACTGCCAACTGTCACAACGGCACAAAAGACGCTCAACCGCCTCTAGCAACGGTCGCGGGGGCAGCAGCGGCAGCAACTGCACCGCAGTTGCGGTAAGGGAACCCGTCATACCGGCGCCGCCGACGGATTCATCTCCGGTGCCGCCGCGGCGTCGGTTCACGCCGCTACCTCCCCCTCCTCCTCCAGAGCGTGCTGCTGCCTGCTGTGCCACCCGCACCACCTTCATCGCCCCGCCGCCGCTCGTGACCCTCAGGTCCCTGTCGGTGTCGGTGGCGTCGGTCTTATTATCATCCGCAACAGCAGCAGAAGGGCAAGCGAGCCCCTCGAGGCCTTCTTCATGGAAACCCGTTGGCTGACCTATGGAGCCCTCCGGTCCCCCACTGCTCCCCATTCGGACCCGCAGTGTCGCGGAAGCCGTCCGCAGCAGTGTGGCGGCAAAGCTCTGCTGCCTCCGTCCCTCCCCCCGCGCGGTGGTGACCCTACTGGGCCCGGACGGGGCTCGGGGGTTTGTCGAAGGGGGAACCGAGGGGGCTGGAAGTTCGCTGGGCTGCTGCTGCTGCTGCTGCTGTTGCTGTTGCTGTTGCTGCTGCTGCTGCTGCTGCTGCTGCAACAATGCAAGTTCCTGATCCAGCTCAAAGGGTTGCTCCTGTTTCTCCAAACTCGTCTCTTGTGGAACCGGCTGCTGCAATCGAAGCTGTTGCTGCTGTTGCTGTTGCTGACGGGGGATGTCCTCAGAGGCCGAGTATCGCAGTCGGCTGTCGTCCAGGGAGGGCCGGGACATGACACTCACGGCCACCCCAGCGAGGGGTGCTGTGAAGGGAGACGGCGCAGCATCACTGTCACCGAGCGCCGTGTGGGCGCTGTCGCTATCTCGTTTTGTGCGGTGGCTATTCGTAGAGGCGACGGCTGCGGCGGCAGTAGCAGCAGCAGCAGCTTTCGCAGCCGCCGATAGGCCCCCCTCATCCCCCCAAAAGTTAAAGCGGCGGTGGGAGCGGCGGCGACGACGGTGACTCCCCATCCCCGATGCGTCCACCACTTCCGCCGACGTACGGTTGGTCTTAAAGAAGAACAACAAGCTCGACTTGCGCCTGGCACCGGCCGCGCTATCATCCTGTAAGTGCAGGCTGTCGCTCCTGCTGAAAAGCTCCATATCCAGAGGTGTTGGTGTTGGTGGTGGCTGCTGTGGGGATGCAGACGGGCAAGGACAGTTGGAGGCCGCCCTCGGCAACTCCAGCGGGCCCAGGTCCACCTCCACTAAAGGATCCTCTCCATCCGCACCAGTCGACAGAATGTATGCCAGAGCACCGTTGAGGGTGTTATAAAAGTAATCCCCAGCTGTGGCCATAAACTGTTGCGGCAGCTGCGGCTGCTGCTGCTGTTGTTGCCGCTGCCGGAAGGCCGATGTGGGGGCCAGATGGAGAGCTGCCGCAGTCCTGCCGGCGCCCTGCACTCGCCGATGCCCTCGACCGCCGCCTCCACTGGCAAAGTCGCCTGCTGCTGTTCCCGCGACGCTGTCGCCCCCCCTGCTATTGGTGCTGCAGCTGCTGAGGCGGTCTTCTGCCGGAGATGACCCCAGCTGCCTCATAAGGGCACTGGCCACATCGGTCTGCATGTGAGAGGGGAGGAGAGGGGGAAAGAGGAGAGGGGAGGGGAGGGGAGGGGGGGCTCTGAGCGGGTTCCGGAGCGCATGAGGCCCTCGAGCGACCAGCTGGGGTCAACGAGGGAGGGGGCTAAGCAGGCGGCAGGCGGCAACGGAGCGAACGGCGAGCCGCGGGGCAACAACAATTCCTCATGATCACACACACACACAGACAGACAGACACACACACAACCCAGCAAGCCACCACTTACTCAAGGGCACGGTAAATCGGATGTTGTTCAACTAAAAGCAACGGCTTTTCAATCTGCATGTCCTAGCCCCCTCCTCGGCCCGCATCCCGCTATTCCCACGTCCTCCACTTCACGCCAAGGTACTGCGTCTCGGCACATCCTCCCCCTTGTGTGACCTCCCAGACAGCTCAAGGTGCCCACGTGTTTCCCAGTCCGCCACGGTCCCCAATCCCATCCCCGGATCAACCATAAGGTCAAACAGGCACTACTGTCGTACATTTACTTACATCCAGATTTGCATCCCGGATTCTGCCGCCCAAGTTGAGCGGCCTGTAGACGTCCTGCCGGCGTCGCAGTACCGTCCTCAGCAGCACCACATCCCCGAGGCTGGGGGGGAGGCCGGCCAGGAGCGCGGACAGCAGCCCCATCAGCACCTCCGCGGGGCTCTCTGGTGGGCGGCGAAGTCACGAACGAGGCGGTGGAGCAGGCCAGGGACCAGCAGGCCCGCCGCCGGAGGCAACGATAGGTGGATGGGTAGTAAGCACGAGGGTGATGGGGGCAGGGATGGGGCAGCAGCAGCAGCAGGAGTAGCGAGCAGAAGAAAAAGGAAGGAAGGGGGAAAACGGGGAAACTTAGCGGGCCAAAGTACCAGTAACAAAATACGGCAGTAGTCTTCTTGGATAAAAAACTCTCTCAAAAGAAAACTCCGAAAATGGCCGCAAAGGCTACGCCTTAGGGATGCCGAGTATCAAGTGTTGGCCAGGCCAAAGGATAACACATCTAGAACGTTCCAGAAATCTGTAGTGTGCAAGACCGCTATGGTTAATGTCAACTAAGTAAGCGCTAGGAGGCGAGTTGGATTGACTTTGGTTTACATTAGAGCTTTAGGTTACATTAACTTGCCAAGGGACGCTTCAATGACTGCTCCAGGAGATGATGAAGAGAACAGAATAGAGTACTGACGGCTAGCAGCAATACCCAACCCGTACATCGATGGGGCTCCGTAATTACACACACACACACACAGCTAGGGTTTACGGTCCCGGAGTAAACTTTCCTCCCCCTTTTCCCACACTCACATGTACGTACATACAGAGTTACTCACTCACCAGGGTCTACCGTGCGTCTAGGTTCCAACGCGAGCTGGTGGTTCTCGGCATGTAGATCTCGAATGAGATCCTCAGGCAGCAGGGAGTGCAGCAACATGTGTTGTCGGCGCCTGCAGGAGAGAGGGTCGGGTGTCAGGGGCATGTATATATACATATATACATACATACATACGGTGACGGGGGTGCAGGGGAGTTTGACCAAATTCCTCAGTCCAATGCAGTTCGATGCAATTCTAAGAGGCAGGGGTAACTGCTCTGGCACAGCCGAGGTGGGGGCTGCAGGAGTTAACCCTCCGGGCCCCCCCAGCGGCTCCAAGCCCAGAAGAGCGGGGGACGATGGCAGCGGGCTGAATGGAGTGAGGGGCCCCAAGGGGGACAACAGCGGCAGTGGCCCCTCTATCCCACCCCAGGGCAGTAGTGAAGGTGATGCTGAGACGAGCTGGACAGTGATGGGCAGGAAGGGGAGGAAGACCCCGGCGACGGCTGCAAAGGTTGCACCAGCAGAGGCCAACCCTTTTTTGGTGCTGGCGGAGCTGAGGGGAGAGGAGGAGGCCCCCACAGATGTACCTGCTCCAAGGCCCACAAGGGGGGGAATACACCAATGGCCACACAACAACCGGGGGACCCAGCAGCAGCAGCAACATCCCCCGCAGTGAACCCCAATGGGGTTTCATCCACACCCACGGCCACGGCCGTGGAAGGAGCGCCGGCGGCAGCAGCACTGCCGGGGGCACCAGAAGCAGCAGCACTGGACCCAACCCCACCCTCAGCGGCACCGGACCTCCACAAGGGGAAAGCATGCAAGCCCCGTCAGACCCAAGGAACATAGAAAATCCGCAGGCCAGACCTGACAGGGGAAGCCAGGCGCACGTTCTTCCTGGCGCAAACAGCTGCAGCCCGAGCAGCCCACTCGCAAACACTCCGCAGAACTGGCCCAGCGAGCTAAGGACCAGAAGCGGATGATCCAAAAAAAGTCGGCAGCGGAGAGGCGCAGCGAGCTCATCCAGTCCTCCCGAAAGCACAAGGCGAAAGAAGCCGAGGCTACCCAGGGGACCAAGACCTCGGGGAGGGAGCCGGGGACTGCTGAGGTTGAGAGGAGGACACGGCTATGGAGGCCGAATCGATGGGCTCCCCGTCCCAGAGCCTAGTGTTACACTTCCCCACCGCTTCCCAACCTGGCCACCCCCACGCAGCTATGCTGATGGAATATATTCTGAAGTCGATGGGGTGAATGGATTAGGGTGCCCCTCTCGCAGGGGAGAGCAGGGAACTGCCTCGGGAAAGGGGGCCGCTGGTGAAGCTATACCACCCTGTAACAACATACATACATACATACATACAGAGAGAGATGTTATCCAATCCCATTCGTTGATGTTTATTTAATGTTATGTTAATCTAATCTGTCATGCCACGCGCGGTGATATGCGTACGTGGCATATACGTTCCTGTTTGAATGCGGGCGGGAATGTGAATGTGGCTTTGCTGGGATGGGCACTTTTGTTGCAGTACTTACTGCCGTACAAGCTGCCGGTTATTGATCTGCTGATTAAATGCGCGTTGCTGGCCAATTGGAAGTACGGAAACGAAACGGAAGTTGGCGGTTACTTCGCAGGGTCGAAAGTGTTTACAGCGTGGAACAACGGGGGATGAATGGTGGTTGGCGGTTGCACCACGTGGCCGTTGCCAGTTGCTCGAGTTGGCGGTAGGCGTCACGCATATTTCGTTCGATGGAATGGTACCTTATATTCTCACAATCTCACCTTTCATACATGCATACACACATACATACATACGATACATACGGTAGCACAGCAAGGGCCTCAAACCCCGGCCCGTGGAAGACGGACGCGTGAGATGATTGGCCTGGAGGGGAAGGAGCGTGATGACTCGCTTTCCCGCAGCTGTGGTGTGTTTCGGACCGTGTACATGATGTGCAGTATTACTACGTGCGGCAATCCGTCCACCAAAGTAAAGCGTGATGTGCCCGCCCCGTCTCGCTGCGCCTTGGGCGGCGTACCAATACGTCGATGGTGACCGGTCTCCCGAAATACGTTCCCCCCGACCCCCGACACAAACCCGCGCCCTTCACCGCCCTGACCCACCTGGATACCAGCAAATGGAAAAGCAGGACGGAAGCTGCCACGGATAGTACGACAACCGCTGTCACCAC